GGGGCTCGAACCCTCGACCTCCCGCACAACCGTCCAGCGCTCTATTCATTGAGCTAACCGGAAGGCGGTCTTAGGTTAGGTTTAAAATACTTGATCCCAAATTTACGTGGTGTCGATTTGTGTGGTGCATGAAGGCGAAAATTCTTACTTTTCTTCTCTTCCTCCAAACACAGTTCTCTATCCCACCCACTCATTTTTTCTGTCCACTTACAGCGTGCCGTTTCCTTGACTAATAACAGCGTACTCTTAAACTCCTTCCTCTCCATCACCAAAACATGCCCTGGACTAAGAGTGTGAAGTATCTAATTTCGATGTCGTTCTCGAGAAAGTCTTTCATCAAACCCGACATGGCTAGTTGCCAAATATTCTCGGTCGATGCCAAAATCCCGATGCTCTTCCACTTGAAATACCGCCGGAAATACCGACAAAAAGAATTTGCCCATTTTCGAGAAGGACCCAACAGTGCGGGCAAACGTCTGATAAACACTTTTCTCGGATAGCGTCGGGGACTCACATCCCCAAGAAACCATCGGCAGATTCCACGACGAGGCTTAAATAGCGGCCGGTCCACAGATGATATCACAGCCGTCTCCGATAATGACGTCCACACCTGCAATTCGAAATTCCACCGCTTGATTCAGACCTTCCGCGGCGAGGCACATTGAATCGTTTCACAGGAAAGTCATATTATAACCAGGTAATAGTGTTTGATCTTCATTTATTCGATCAACAGCGCTGGTTATCGCCGAGGCTGAAGTTTTTCCGATGGGCCAGTAGCCAGTCATGGGGAGTAACACCCCGATATTAACCTCTTCCTCGTTGTCCGTATTCGCTTGATTCTCATCGTGAGGACAGCCCGTGGCTGCGTCGATGAAAAGGCAGATCGAAGCGATAAAGAAAAGATTTAGTTTTCTGCTGCAAGGAACGCTCGTGACTCTCTCTATCCAAGAGATAATATGAAATTTATCTCCAACGATAACAAATTACCATATTGATCAGTTCTTCATCCCATGGTAAGAAACAAACACAATATAAGGACACCCTCTCTTTGATTGACAGAACTCAATGACGTCACGGTTTTAAATGTTTGCCTGCTAGCTTGAGAGGATTCGTATTCTGGAAAGACTCAGAGACTGATGCCGCCTTCATGGTTTTTATTTTCCAAACAAGATTCACTTGGTAGACATTTTGCTGAAATTCAGCTCTTTCGATTACCAAGACAAAAGCAAACAAATAACTCAAAAAACAACGAACAAAATAAAGAACAAAACAAAAGAAAAAAAACCATTAATGACGTGGTTCCCTGTGATAATGTAGTTAATTACCTAAAACTAATTAAACAACCTTGGAGCCACCCAGACAGTGAAAACCAATAAGATTTCAGGCCTGAATTGAGACAATCCAGGCAATGAAAACCAATCAGATGGCACTCCTGAATCCGATTCACCAATCAAGTGTCGAGCACACAACACCTGAATCGAATCCAGCCAATTAAAGGTCAAGTACAAAACCATTAAATCTCATTTTGTTCGTAGACCGATAGTGTTCAACGACATTTCAAATTCAAACCTTTGCTCTTTAAGTCTTTGTCTGCTTGTGCGTTGTAAGGGTACGCAATGGAAGTATATGCTGCACCAAGTTATAACTACGTCGTTGGCTGATTTAGAGAGTAAATGAAACCCAAAAGTAAGCAAAAGAATTTCAATCTTTAATCTATACGGGCAAAGTACACGCGAGCGGGAACACACGCGAGGCAAGCGGGGAATACACGCGACGCGAGCGTGGAAGGTGAGCCACATGCAAGAAGAGGGGTGACACTCGCCCGAAAAAAGACCACGATGAACTTATAAAGCTACGACGGTTCTGTCGCATATTACAGAAAGTTCTTAAAACTTTACTTTGTCTATAGGTCCCCGGTTTCAACAGATGCAATGTATCGCGTAATGCTTCATTTTCTTTTCAGCTTATTCGAAACCTCCAAGTCTTTAAAATCACCATAAGTCCAGCTAAACCGGTTAACGAGCCCATCAAAAGAAGAACGCGCACCATCTAAAAAAAAAAACAAACAAACATCACAACATTCAAATTGTGTTACAAGCTCGTTAGTTTCTTTTGCCACACTTAAACCTTATCTGTTTTGATCGCCGTTTAATGTTTGGGATCCCTTGCTTTTTGTCCGTTGACCTTTCGTGACACTTACACGACAGGCTTAAGTTCATAGCGCGGCTCCCACGCGCGCGGGGCAGAGCCCCATACCAATGGAATATGGTCAACCTCTTTTCGTTTGGTTGTCACATGACTGACCGAGCGTACGTACGTACGTACCTTCAGATTGCACGGGTAGGGTAGGGGAGACTATCAAAACGAAGGGAAGGGTGTCTCAGGCGAGTCTTGGCAAATGCACATCTTTTGTGTTATCATTAATATTACGAACTGAACTTGGGAGCTCCACTTTTAGGCTCGGCTAATTCTATATATCAAATGTATCGCGTTACTTGCAGCAAATGGTCGTTCGCTTAAAGGAGCACAGATTGTGAGTGTTAGCTTTTTTTGTCATGTTTTAGCTGTAGTCTTTGCTTGTTACCCTAGGTTTCTTTCTTACTGCCGCTTTCGTTTGCCTTTTATCATAGTTTTCACCGTTGTACAAGTTTGGTTGCGTTTTAAAATATCGGTATGATTCGAGTAAAACGAACAAGGACCACTCGAGTCGAATACCTGTGCACTGAGTATTGATTTCTATACAGCGAGGGCCGCAGTCGCCATCGCATTATCCACTAGTTTTCTTCAAAGTTGTTTTTACAAGATCCTTACAATTATATGCCAAAGTGGAATTACATGTAAACTGTTTCTCGTAAAGTGCATCTTTCCTCCGTTCGACACGTTGTTGCTCTCGAGGGAAATTATTTAATCAAGTTCATAATGTTTCGCATTCTTTCACCCGCGAAATCCTAGCGACGAAACAGATTCCTCTTTTACAAACCTCTGCCACACTTCACCCAAAATTCTCAGCTAATTGCAAGAGAAATGACACTTACTTGTCTTTTCTCTGTCCTTTCTATCATAAATAACTTCCTTAAGAAGCACACTTGGACAAAGACGCTCACCTTTTCTTGCCACTGATTTCTCTCTACTACTTCGTGAAAAGGTATGTGTGTATAGGTAACCTAAGAGAAAAGATATGTCTTTATCGGTGTTGGCTACAGGGGTGGCCAATGTTACCTTAATGGGTGACAGCATTGGGAGATATTGGCTACAGGGGTGGCCAATGTTATCTTAATGGGTGACAGCATTGGGAGATATTTCCGAAGGTTTTCCTAAGTGTCCAGTCATTTCCACGCAATATCAACGAAACGAAAAACTAGGCTTTTTTCCAACTTGATTAAAAAGACGAAGTGGTAAACTCCGTCATAGTTCCAATATTGGTGAAATAGGAGGCTAATGTTGGTGGAAAAGGGGCAGTGATAATATTGATCACTTAACATTCTTGGTCCAACATTAGTAAAAGGGAGGCCAATATTGGCCAAATGGAGACGGTGATAGCAATGGTTCAGCATATTTAATAGATGAGTCAGGGTATTACTGGGTTTGACTTTTGACCCCGCAACCGTGAAAGTAAGGGTAACAATACTTTGCCAATGTTGTTAATATGCATTACCAACACTAGAGCCAATGTTGGTCCTGTGCATGTCTTAATGATTGCCCTGCTTTGAAAAATTTCCCTAAAATTGTCAGTCTTACCATGGTATGCAGCGGAATGAAAGTTTTGGGCATCAACCTGTTTAATGCATACATCGCTTTTCTCTCCAGAAGGAACCAAAATGAATTGACCAACGATCTCAACTGGAAATATAAAAGAAAATGTAACATTAGGTTAAACCTCCCCCCTGGCAGGTCACTCTAGACTGTATCATGCCAGTTGCAACGCTATACTGATACAACAGCGAGTGGTATAAACTGCTTCCCCTAAAATAGTTGCTAATCCATGCCTAGTCTCCTCCCCCAGCATTTTGCTCGATTTCCCCTGCTAATACCTATTTAGGTATATCAACAAAGTTGAAATGGTAAATTGGCCACCGTAACGATTACAAAAGCTGA